TAGTCAAGCTGGCTTGCTGTTTACTACACCTGTCACCAGCACGTTAGACAACAAGATTAGCGGCAGGTTAGCATCCGCTCTGACATCTCGACACGTACTTACATAGAATCAGATTAAAGAATTTAATTCGCACAGAGCACAAATCTGAGGAATTTTTAGGGAATCACCAAAACACAAAAAGAAAAAGATGTGAAGATGAATTAAGACACTAGCAGAAATCCCCCACACACACCGACCCTCATGAATCTTCAAGTCCATCTCATTGCTTTTAAGAGGGGCTTAGTGTGGCTGTGGGGATTCTCAAAACAACAAATTCTTTCCCTAGTGTCACCCGGGCTTACAGACCCATTACACTGATTGGAGTCCAGTCTAATCTGCTTCATGTAACGGAAAGGACCCCTGGTCCCTGTGTGTGCGGAAGGCTGTGTGTTTGTTTGTGTAAAAAATGAGGATATAACACAGAGATAGATGCTCTGAGAAATCAGTGGACAACTAGGACCGGAAGATTTCTAGCTTAACCATGCTGACCAGTGGGTGACCAGTTGGTACCTCAAATCCAAACTTTCTCTGATTAGTAAAGCGCAAATTCATCAAGCCATTGACTCAGCCATAACAATCTTCAGTCTGGAATTTGTAACCATGGGAAAAGACTCAAAGTTAGCTTTTTTTCAGCACCACAGTGGAGCTTAAAAATGCTGTCAGTACAATGAAAACAGCTGTAAGAAGCTAATTTAAAGGAAACTATCTTTTATGGATTAATAAGAGCTTTTTGAAGGAGCTTTAATTGTTGATAGCAATGTTTTTGTTCTTTGGCAGTTTTTGGAATCCCTGCCTTAGACTTTAATTTGAACTCGCCTTCAGAGAGGTTTCATCTGTTTTATTTTTTGCAGATAAAGTTGACTCTGAACACAATTCATATATGAATATTATTATAATATTAAAGTTAAGAGGATAGTCTGAACTGTGCACTCATTTTTTAATTAATAATGTGCTATAATGTGTAATGAGTCCCTACTATAATATTAGAATCAGGTTAAAAATGTTAATGCAAAATCTTTTTGTCTAGCTCTAAAATAGTAAAAATCTGTTCTATATTGAACTGCCCTCTGACGGATAAAATTAAACGTTGCCTACACTCATTAAAATATATGTTAAATTAAAGAATGATCACTATAAATATTGTGACTGCTGTTCATTCTGGTTCATGAAGAGAAATTAGAATAAGATCAAATCTGTTTTGGGCCAGTCTAAGCTTCAAAGCAACCTAAACTGTAGGGATGTCCCGACACAGCATTTTAATTTATGATACAATACAGATATTGTAGCTCTGAGTGGTGGCCTATTCCACTATTGGATACCCAACAGGATATCAGCACAAACCATACATACCTTTATTACTTACTTTGTAGCATGGAATGTTGCGAAGGTCTTGATCAACATCATATGATGTTATTCAAACAGAAAATAATAATCAATAACTGGGTATAAACACAGCTGACTCATATAATATGAATCAGTTAAATTAACTTTAAACAGATGTGGAATATTTCTATCAGCTGGCTTATATGAGAGATTTTAGATTCATATCAATATTTCCCAATACTCAATACTAGTTTTTTTTTTATCTTATGTCAGACTGATTTCCGATATCAATATCAGAACAGGACATCCCAAACTAAAATTAGCTAAAAATCTCTGACCACTGCATCTCTAAGATATATGATGTTTAATAGCATCTGAGGAAAAACTTCCTAAAATTTACTAAAAATAAAAATCTGGGCTACTATTTGGTTGCCTGGTAGATTTAAATTCAAACTAATGTTTTTATTTCACCAATAAATACCGACAATCTAATACAAAAAATTAAACCTGAATCTGATAGCGAGTCTGTGGAGAGACCAAAAATTTGAATAATAGCAAGAAGGCCTTCCAAATCTATAAATACACCTACATATATCATGTTCTGTGATCTCGTTTTTGTGGGTTATTTGTATGAAAGGTTGCTTAAATGCAAAGATGGAAATCATCTTGTAATTCTTTCTTTTTTTTTTTTGTGCATTCAAAACTGCTTCCTGAATCAAACAGCAAATATTAAATGTTCCTTTTTCCCATTCTAGTCCCAAAAAAGAAAATAAAAAAACTTGAATGATTCAAAGTTAGAATCTGAAGGACAAACCTGATACAAAACTGGAAATCAGTAGTGAGACGGGTTTGTCAATCTTTCTGAATACGTTTTGCCATATAGATTATTCAGCAGAGCTTCATATAGGGATGGGTGATGGAAAGGTGGAACTATATCACAATAATTTGGGGGGTTTTGTTGGAATAAAGAAGAAAGTAGAAAAAATGGTTTTATACATTAATAACGATCATCCCTGTCAATTACACAGTTAAACAGTACAAAATAAAAGTGTCATATCCTATTAAACAATAATAGTGCTCTTATGGAAACAGATATGGAAAGGAGAGATGGTCTGACACCAACCATAGTCATTTTTTTATTTTTTCATAGTTTATCAATAAGGGGCTGACCATTATTATTAAATTAGAATGACTCACATAATGACTTTTTTATTTAGGATATATTGTTGTACAATAACTGAACTTCCCTGACTCCATAGGCTGAGCTGGTGTTTCCTGACTGTCTTTACAATCTCACCCCCAGCGATAACGGAGAGGTGAAGCCGCGAGTAGCTGTGACAGTTTCCATGGATACCTCTGACAGCTGCCTCAGAAAAATCTACCCATCATACTCCCTCTCCGTCACACATCTACCTATCCACCCTTCTGTTTGTCATGTCTGTCTCTCTACTTAAGCTCTGTTTACAGAAAGAGGATGAGACCTACCTTTGTGCATCCCAGTGTATTTATCCTTAATCACCGTCAGCTCGTAGATCTTGCCAAACTGCTCGAAAATGGGTTTGAGGTCCTTCTCCTCCAGATTCCGAGGAATCTGCCCCACGAACAACTTGATGGCGTCGGCTTCCTTCATGGGTACAAAGTGGAGGTGATGGCTGCTGGGGCTGAGGGTGGGGGTGAACAGATCAGGAGCAGGTATTTGTGGAGAGGAGCAGCTGTTGCTGGACAAGTCCTGATGGAAAAAGGCAGAAAACAAACAACTGATTTCAGACCTTAAATAAAGACTTCATTATGTTTTTAAAAGAGCAAAACTGTACCATCTATAAAAATATAGGTAATCAGTTGTTCCTTATATTCAAAATAGCATCAGTACATTTACTGCAAACAGATGTGTTGATGAAAAATTATTGTTTTTTGTTATGTGAATTTATTCCAGCAGTTTTTTTAAGAAACAAAACAAAAAAACAAAAAAAAACCGAGCAGTAATTTTGAATATTTATTGCTCTGTCTGATGACAAAGGGCTCCAGCAGCTTCTGGGAAAACAATTATGCAAATGTTAATTAGCCAATCAAAAAAACAATAATGGCACTTTTCCCTCCAATTAAATATATATGAAAAGGAAAAGAAAAATTACCTTTTTTTTGGAGGGGGGTCGATGAACGGTGTTAGAGATTCCTGTTGACGGAAAAGGAGAGATAAAGGAGAGAAATGATTGCTCTGGAGCAGTTTCTTTGTTTAGGCAGCTGTCGGTTAGTGCATACACACGGATGTCATGGGGCTCCGCTGCTCTTTGTCCGATCCCCTCTCAATGTACACACGCATATACATACAGACCCCCCCGGAACAAAACAACACATGGAGATACGCGGACTACTCTCACAGTAGCTCTTACCTTTAATCAATAACACTGATGGAGTGAGCGTGGAGCAGAAATGGATCGAGGATGCTCTCCGTTAGGTCCCCGTTGTTGTCCTCTCCTCTCCTCTCCGTCCGCCAGCCTCCTCTCTCTGGATGCTCAGCGCTCTTTGTGCCCAGCCGCGCGCCCCCTCCTCCTCCTACTACTCCTCCTCCTCCTCCTCCTCCTCGGTGTGTACAGATACTACTACAACCGGCTCAACGTTGTTTGCGGGGTTTTGAAATGAGTATCTAAGTACACAAACTAACAAGCAAACCCCCTTCCTAAAAAAAATGGTGTCCTTGGAGGGGACAGCTGGGTGCTTCTCAATGTAACCGACGGAGAGGAATTTGCTCTTAAAAGTTAAAGGTTCTAGCTAGTTATTAGTTTTCATTTGTATTAGAAAACAAACAAACTGTCTCTTTAATTCATAACTCTTTGAACCTATTTCAGCAGTGACGGTATTGTTTGAGCGGACAGTTATTTATCTCAAGCTGTCCTTCTTACGGTTCTCTATCTTCTCACGTCCTTCTGATGCCGGTGTCCCTCCGCTCTCTGTTGGCCCCTCCCCCTCATGTAACCATAGCTGCCGCTGGTTTCCTAGTGACGTAAATCCAAGGGACCGTCAATAAATATGTTCACGGAGCAAACATAAAAACACAGGGAAGCTTTTTTTTTTTTTTCAATTACCGTATATCCCCTTAAAGGGGAACTTCGTTTTTTTTTACATTGGGCCCTTGATTTTACATTATTACATCATGTTCTACTCACCCATATAAGTTTTGTGTCATTTGGAGCTGTTCTAAAGATATTCCGTTAGGTTATATCCAAGTAACGTCTTCCTATGGGCAGCAACTTGAAGGCACAAACTAAACTGTTCATAATTTATTCTTTATGGTAGGCCAGCATTCATAACGTGTAGATGAATCACTGTCCCCCAGACATCCGTTATATTTTTTATATTTTTATGTTTTAAAAACAAAGCGGCCCGTGTATGACGTCCTCCGCACATGCGGACTGGAGTCGTGACAGGAAGCCTGGGCCACAGGCTGCTACGCTCTACCCCTTCTATTCGCTCGGCTAGCTAATCTGAATCGTTCAAGTCCATTTAGAGAGCGAGATCATCTGTGGTAGTAGCACTAGACATCTTCCAGGCATGTGAGGAAAACTAGCAGCAGTTCAGCGGACAGGATGAAGGAATGGTAGCCGGCGCATGCGGATGAAGGAATGGTAGCCGGCGCGTGCGGATGACGTCATACATGCGCTGCTTTGTTTTTAAAACATATAAATATAAGAAATATAATGGCGGATGTCTGGGGGACAGTGATTCGCCTACATGTTATGAATGCTGGCGTACCATAAAGAATAAATTATTAACAGTTTAGTTTGTGCCTTCAAGTCGTTGCCCATAAGAAGACGTTACCTGGATATAACCTAACGGAATATCTTCAGAACGGCTCCAAATGACACAAATCTTATATGGGTGAGTAGAACATGATGTAATAAAGTCAAATCAAGGGCCAAATGTAAAAAAACCGAAGTTCCCCTTTAATACCCACCTCTTTTCTGGGAAATTCGCATATTTTGCATACCCAAAGCAAATAACTGAGGAACTGTAAGCCCAAAGTACATGTGTTATACTTTATTTGAAAGCTAACACCTTCTAGTTTATGAATATTTACATGAGCATTGGGTGAGTAAAACACCCAAGCTGCATCATTTCAAACATGACTCAAAGTTGTTGTTTTTTCTATTTTCGAAAATAATAAGTCTTTTTTGAACATCAGTAATAAAGACATGCTTGCTTGTTGCAGCTGCTTTGTCATGCTACATGTTGACATGCTGTTGTAATTGTGCTTTGGTACTCGCTATGTCCATAAAATGAACTAGATAGCTGAAATGTGGAAAATCTAAGCTTTCCAACAATGTCCAATACGTCTATTTTGGTAAACATTTTACCAATGTAATTTTCATGCATTCTGAGTTATTATTTGTGAAGGCTTTAAAACGGGTCGCCGGTAACCCGGTGGATTGTGAGAGGTTAAATATATATATATATATATATATATATGTGTGTCTGTGTGTGTGTGTGTGTAATGACATCAATAAATTCATGAATCAGGCTGGTACCCCTAGAAAGGACTTGAAATTATGTCACAAAATGGACACCAGTAGCTAAATGGAAACACTGCAATTTCGGGGGGAAAAAAATCTTATGTTTTGAAAAAAAAGTTTTTACGCTTTGATGGGGTGGTTTTTGGTCACATCAAAGTTATTATATTTTGCACAACTGCAACGGAAACACTCGTTTCGCATCACACAGGTCAGGTAATCTGCAGCTGGACCTTACTGCCATGTAAAAAGATTAAGAAGAAGAAGATCAGAAGAAGTTGGAAGAGGATGGCACGCCATATTTGGATTCATGAGGAGAATGAGGGTCTCTTACATTTAGTTAACAACTAGAGCCGTCGCTTCATCTGACACAGGGTGTTTTAAATTTCTGCAGGACAAGGAAATATCAAGACTATCAAGGGATTCTAAAGAGAAATGTGCTGACCACTGTTACAAAGCCTGGTCTCAGTCAAAGATCATGGGTCTTCAACAGGATATTGGCCCAAACCACACAGCTTAACACACCAAAGAATTGCTAAGAAGAAAACATTGGACTATTCTGATGAGCCTTCTATTAGCCCTGACCTAAGTCCTATTCAGAATCTTTGTAGGGAGCTGAAACCTACCATCTGGAAAATGTATCCTTCAAACCGGAGCAGTTTGTTCACAAAGAGTGGGCCAAAATAATACTCATTGACAGTATATATATATATATATATATATATATATATATATATATATATATATATATATATATATATATATATATATATATATACACGACGCAATAGGGCTTAACAAACTGAGCTTAAATACAAAGAACAGGTTGAACTCTTAGCATAAATAAATATGCTCACATAACAATAAAAAAAATTAAAAATGTAGGATATTCTTCATACCTATACAGGGTCAAAAAGGAAATTCCCATGAATTTTAAATGAAAAATTTTGAAAACTTAAAAAATATTTACTCATGTTTAAACATTTAAATCAAAAGTAGTATCTACATTTAAATCAGAAGTATCTATATTCTCTAGCAATGTGTGTGGAAATATTAGATCTATGATCAGTTTTTTCAAATTCCAACTATTCACAGGAGGCAAGTGGTGGTTTGGGGCCCCAAGACAAGGCTTGGTGCAATAGAAGTATTAGCCGACTTTGCAGGGACAAGTCAGTGTAGCATTGTAAACCGAGTAACAGTTGTTTAGAATTTCAGAAAAAATAGTTTAAAAGTGCAAATGTTGATTTGTTTCACATTGGTCTATATATGTACTTCAAGTGTTTATCTGTTCATTTAAAAGATTATGTCTTTCAGCAAATTAAATTTTAGAATGAACTTGTTCAGGAAAATTAAATGATTTATCAGATAAAAAAAGAATATTATTATCACAAAAATACATCTTCATGTATTGTACAAGTTATGCTTTTATAGATGGTCAGGGATTACTGCCTCGGTGTGACCTTCTCAGTCCACAAAGTGGCCTTCAGCTTGTCTGGATTGCTCTGTCTATTGTGTCTTTTCTTCCTCTAATACACTAGTCAATCAAGCACAGCCACTACATGGCAATTCAAGCTTGTCTTACTACTTTTGGGGGGTCATGCTTGCTTATAAATTCAGCACTTCTATCAAGTTTGTCACTAGAGGAAAGCATGGTTCGTATAAATGTCATTAGTATATTTAGAATTTAAAATTAAATAAAAGCCATCCTACAAATTCTAAAGCTTCCCAGATCACCCCTAACTGTGGACACTTCATAGTAGACCTCAACCAGTTCGAATTATGAGCTTCTCCTCTCTTCCTCCAGACGCAGAGACCTTCATTTCCAAATAGGGTAAAGAAAATTGATTTAAAAAGAGAAGTTGAAGCCAGTGATGAGCCTATGGTCCAGTTCTAGCGCAGACTGGATTCATCTGTATGGTTCCATGAGGCACTTCACGCTGTGTGTACCAAACCCTTAAAAGTAGATTTGCTTCACACCCATAGTATTGTTATTTTATTTTCTATTGATCACATATATCACAGATAGATTTGTTGAATTTAATATCTATGGTATCTATGGTAATGCACTTTTTTATTTACCTATCGATATGTTCGTCTTCTTTGATTGTTATATTTCTGTTTTCATTTTAATAGCGTTCACTCGTGGGTTTAGTCGGTCCCTGGGAGACACGCTGCGCGAAGCCGCCTATTGTTCTCCCAGCGAGCCCTGGCCTTGGTGCTGAAACGCAGATTCGGCGCGCAGCCGACGACGATCACGCAGTCACGACTGCTCCACAGCTGTTCACGCACAAGCCCCGAAATCACGCTCACACCGTCACAGAGCAAAGAGTGTGAAAGAGGGTAGAGAGATAGCTCCGGGATGGAGGTGGCCTACTTTACACGCTGCACTTCGGAAAAAAAGGGAGACATTGAGCCATACTAGTGGTTTAGGCATGGGGGGGGCATCCTTTAATATAAGATAGATAGATAGATAGATAGATAGATAGATAGATAGATAGATAGATAGATAGATAGATAGATAGATAGATTTTTTAAGATTGTTACTGATTATCTTCTTCAACAATCATAGCCCAAGAAACAGGAGAGAAGGGAATTGCAAATATTCTGGCTAAGCTGCTTGGTGAATTTCCATAATCCACAGTAAAAAAAGAGAAAAAAAATCCATGAAAATGGCATGAAAGGCCAAACAGAATACCATGAAAAAACTTTTCATGCATTTCCTTAGTTTTCTTCTGAATTACAAGCCACGACGCTAAAGCTTGAGCACAGGGAAGTTATTTGATTGGACAATAGCCGTAAGGATACTGTAGTAACAAATTAGTTCAAAGTGGGTTAAAGACAAAAAGTCCAGATTTTGGACTATTACAAAACCCAGAACAGACTAATAGAAAACCTATAGGAAAGAATTGAAATGGTCTACATGTGCAAAATGATTCAGTTATTGCCTAAGGTACGAGAATTAATGACCCTTAAAATACAGTTTAGAAGGCAATTACATACAATATCAACAAAATGTATATAAACCCTTTAAATTCTAAAAGAAATACACAAACATGTTCTCTATTGTCAATCTAGCTTAATTGATCAAACTAATTGCAGTGAACCTAATTTATCTAAACTTTTATTGAAGGCATGCCAGTTATAAGAAAGGTTATCTGTATATATAAAAAAAGTGTGTGCTTGTGCGTGTGTTTATGCGTCCGTGTTTATTTTCATTTAAATGTGAGTGTGCATTCAGACAAATGCAAAATCCACATTATAAAGTGTACCTATCTTTATGTAAGAGGTAAGAGTAAATATATGTTTTCTATTACAGAAAAACTAGATGTAATATTATTATAGCTAGAAAAGACAGTGAACACCTCAGATAAAATCTTACAGACTACATAAAAATTGTCACTAACCAAGAATCATCCTTCGTGCATTCTAGTTTTTAAAACATAAATAGTCTTTTTTACCCGATCAAAAATCATCTTTAACTCATCTGAAGCAGTAAAACAAAAACAACAGAACAAGACAAGACAGACAAAATAGAAATTTTAAGTCCACTTTTATCAAATCCTAAATAAAAAAATAGATTATACCTTAACAAGCATTGGCAGCACAAAGAAAAATAAAAAGGGCAAAAGGGGTTTCAAGCAAAAAAAAGGAAATAAAGCAAAAACCGCAGTTAAATGTTCAATATATGTTAAATATTTAAAACCATAATAGTTCAAATTCACAGCTATTCAGGCAACAGAGCAAACATTTACACGGTCAAAAAATCCTAATTTTATTCCATCAGTTTTTAACAGAAGTCAGCATATGGCAAAACTTTAGATGCTTTTCACTTGATATAAAAATGTTCTTCGTTTGAAACATCCTATTTCCTAGTTTCTTGACGTTTCCAACTCCACTCTACAAGAACCCAGTGTTTGCAGAAAACACACCAACAACAAATCCTGTTTCCTGTCTTTGATATGTGTGTGTCTCAGAGAGAGAGAGACAGAGAGAGAGGGTTCACTAGGTTCATGTTAATGTATTGCTAAAAGGTCACCATCTGCTGGCCTCACCTCCTTCCCTCTGTGAGCCTCTGTCCTCCAACATATAGGCCTAAACACCACACATGCAGTCTTTCATGTATAAATCACATCGCAAGGGGCAACCCATGAACCAAACACCCAGCGGAGCTACGATGCAACGCCTGCTGAGGGCAGAGGACTGGACGGGCTTTCGCCGGCAGCAGGCTGCACGCAACCAAACCTGTTAAGCCTCCCTGCATGATGGGAAATATGAAACGACAACTCACGCAAGTCTGTGTCACCAAGAGGGGAGAAGAAAGCTTAAACAGACTCTCCCTTTAGCCAGTGCTGAGACTGTAGGGCTTGAAACGTTTGAGCAGCTTTTGGTCGATGTATTGATAATTGGTTTAAATGATAAAAAAAGAAGAAAAAAACTAAAGTGGAATTAATTGAAAGATTAAAAACAGAAGATATGTGTATGCTTAAAGGAAACGGTTAAATCTTGATGAGGTATTTTTATCTAAAATAAAAAGACCACACTTTAATTATAATACAACTATTCATCATGTAAATAATCTGATCCCTAAGAGTTTGTTTTGTATTTTAGCTTTAAATAATTTAACATTAGACATAACCTGATCTATCCATCTGTTGCTGATCCATCAGGGTCACTGTGGGGCTGCTGCCTACCTCCAGCAGCCCTTCGGCAAAAGGCAGGGTACACCCTGGGCAGGTTACCATGCTATAACAGAGACAATAACGTGAGTGAAAAACAATTAGTTGATTAAATAATTAATTAGTCAAGGAGAAAAGGAGTTATTCAGAAATTCTGACCCTATAAGAAAAAAAAAAAAAAATAAGTCATTTGATAAAACCAGATTTGTTTTTTGAAAGCTAAGATTAAAATGACAACCCTCATCCACACTTAGGCCTGAATAATGACAGACCTGGAAAATCAGAACTATCCTTCTAGGGAACCTTGTAAAGATCAGAAAAAGCAACATATCAAGCCCAAATCTAAGGAAATTCAAGAAAAGACTAGAAAAAAATCTCTTTTGATGAGGGTTACAAAGCCAGTTCTAAAGCAAAGGGACTCCATTGAACAATGAGAACCATTATTTAAAAATACAGAGAAAAGCATAGCACAGTTACAAACCTTACAATGAGAGGCCAGCCTTCCGAAAGAACTCAACTGAAGAAAAATTCAAAGAGTTCAGAAAAGAATCCAGAAAGTCTAAGCCCCGCAGGCCTCAGTAAAATGTTGGTGTTCTGGTCTCAACAACATTAGATTCAGAATGAGAGTTCTGAAACCAAAAATGGCACTAATCAAAAAGACATTTACCCACAAATATTTTTACAATCTCAAAGAATTTGGAACAGTTTCTGGAAAGAGATTTAAAATCAGAAATTGAAGAGGCCTGTCTAATTGCCAAGGGAAGTTTATTTCACAGCTTAGGGGCTGCAACAGAAAAAGCATGGTGGTAATAGTGTTATGGTATGGGACTGCTCTGCTGCTTCCAGAATGTGACAACTTTTGATAAATGATGAAAGCATTGATTCTGTTTTATAGATGCGGAAAGAGTGTTTGTGGCCTAAATCTCAGCCAAACTTGGGCTAAGGAGCAGGACAATGGTTAAAAAGTCAAATGTTTTGGAGTAACCTATTCAATGACTGACTTATATCTAGAATAGAATGGCAGGATCTTAAATATATTATTCATGGTTAAAAGAACCCAAACTAATTTTCTAAATAAAATTCTAAAAATTCTCCACAGTGAAGAAAAGGATTTATTGCTGGTTGTCGCCGAACCAGGAAGGGTTTGAATGGATGTTTTGTTATTAAACAAAATTCACATATGACCATCACATCATTTCAGTACTTGTGTTACCTTTATTTCACTTTAAAATGACTTTGACTTAATTTTTGTTTGACAAAAAAAAGGAGAAATTTGAAAGGGGAAAAATAATAATACACCATTAAAAAGCCTGAAGAAATCGGAAATTTTATGTCCTCTGCTTTTATACTGTAGATTTCTGCAAAGTTAATCATATTATTTGACGAATTTCTTAAATTAACACACTTCACTGGCAGATTAAGAAACATTTACAGACTTAATAGTACCATCGTTTGGACAAACATGGCAACCCTCCTTCCAAGCACAAGAATAACTGCCACAAAGAACTTTATTTACCTGTTATATCAGTTTTATTTCAAATTAAAACTTTGACATATACATTTCCCACGCTGTTATAATGATTTTGTATAATAAAAAAGCCTGCATATTGATAAAAACATCCTCAAAAAAACTGGTGTAAGTAGAAATAAAAATCCTACAACTCCTCAAGACAGAAAATAAATTATACTTTCTTCAAATCATAGATAAATAACTATATTTATTGTGTGTTTACATATATAAAATGAAATTTATACTACAAGATTTTAAAGGCGAGCGTAACACATTCAAAGCCGTAGCTGTTCATAAACATACACTCACCAAAAGAAAAAACACTGGCGCACAAATATAAATCATTCAGGCTCACTGTTACGCTGCAGAAATGCGGATATAGAGTGTAACAGAACACCTGATAACTAGGGATAGGTGGTAACTTTAAATTTTTTTTACAGACATTAAAACATATCTGACAAAAATACAGATTCCTCATGTTTGACACGGCATGAGTATGTTTTATGTTGGTAGGTGAAGACAAAGAAAACAGGGTCAAAAAGAACTCACAAAACTTATATACAGAGTTCGCATCTTTGATATGCAAAATATCTAAGCTTAACATCAAAGCATAAAAGCAGCATTTGATTGGTATTATTGAAGGTAACTAGAAGAGTGTTGCATGGAAAAATCTACATTTTCAGCCTTGCTGAGATTCTTACTTTATCAAGATCCTTGTGCTGTAAATCTACAACCACAAGATGTAGATGTAGAAGGACATACTGTATCATACTGCACCTTGCAAAGAGAGAAAACCCCAACAATTCACATTTTGTCACATTATTACCAAACTACGTATTTTATTTTTGTCAATTTATATATAAAAAAAACAAGACAAAGTTGAACATAATTGTAACGTGCAATGAAAAATCTTTCTCAATAGTGACTAAAACTGATTTAAAAAAACTAATGATTCTGAATATAGTATAAATACTATTCTAATATGCTTTAGTCGCTTTTTTAAGGAACACTTGAATTTAATTTTCACTACAGAATGACATAAAGGTGTGTTTTTAGGTCAATTTGTTTTGGAAACTGTATTTGTTTTTTACATAAAATATCCAATAGAAAACAATCCAAAATCAATGACTCCTCTTTTTAAAACTTACATTTTTTGTCCATGTTTAAAAAATTAAAAATGCAAATAAACTTTTTCAAATGGCCTCCGATTTTTTTTTTATTGCAGATATTTAACAAATTTTTATTTTTTTTATTTAAAGGCCAGGTAGCATTTGTGACTTTACACATTTTTTATTTAGCTGAGTACGAGGTAAAATGGCTCTTAAGATTTGAAAGGTTGCAGACTCCTTGTCTAGCAGATAAAATACCGAACACAATACATCACATTCTCTAGTAGTAATGCAACAAAAGAAGTGCAGGGGCTACTGTATATAGCTGTTGCAAGGTCCTGTATAGATCAAAGTGTGGAACTAACACTTTTTTGAGGCTCTCAGAAATGTGTCTTTTTTCCCATTATCTAAAGCTAATTTTACCATATTCAAATAAAGCAACAAAAAACTCAGAAATCAGTCTGTTTGGATTGATTTTGAAGGAGAGCTCTCCGATTTTTCTACAGGGAAAGAAATGAACTGCAACTACCAATCCTCACGTACATGTGATGTCAATTGCTGCTTTTAAAAGTCATGGAAAATGTCTTTTGGAACTCAGTGGTTTCAATCAAATATTTTTGCAGCTTTATAGACTTCTTCAGAGGAAGAACGCAAAATACTTAGCAGGTAAAACACCATTTGTGTATGTGAACTAGAAGAAGACAAGAGCCTTCTTTTTCTCATTTACGAGGACTGTCATCCATCTTTCCATCGCACAATATTTGGTCACTTGCTGCAATGTTTACCAACCCCTTTGGTTTAAACTGTCCAAGCACTTTATAACAGGACATGTCCAGAAGTATATTTTTTAGAAATCAGTTAGAGTAAAACTATTTAGGCCAAATAGAAAATGTCTTATCACTGTGGGGTAGACCTGCACTTATACTGCAACACAAGATTTTGAAAAGTATGTATATATATATATATATATATACATACATATATAGTTATTATTTTACAATTATCATCTAAGTAAAAAAGTTGTATAACAAAATGAAAAACTAGCAGTTGAAGCATCTCCTCCATGAATTTTAACCACTGTGAACCCACGATCACAGCAATGAGGGAAAAGTACAACCAGAACCACTGAAGCATCAATTACTGGACATAAAAACTCAACACATCTCAGTGGAAGAAGGTTACAGTTTGTCAGATATGACCGAGTAGTAGTAGAAGGAATCATCTGTTTTCACAGTGTTTTACCTGAAAAAAGTCAGGGAAAAAAAGCTAAATGTTATGTAAATGCCACGTCAACTCTGGGCTGTCTCTTTCTGCAGACTCATTCTTCATGGGGGTCGGTGATTTTGACCTTTCCTCCGTCTGGGGTTCGTTTGCTCAGTGCCTCTTAGCACGCAGGGCGCTCTGTGTGCAGGAGGCACAGCAGGCCATCTTGTAGTAGGAGTAGACACACATCCTGGCCTGCACCACCATCAGGCAATTATCAAGGCGGTCCCGACAGTTTTTATCTGCAAACAGAGAGAAGAAGGGACAGGTTAGTGTGAATAAAAAACAGAAGAAAGAATACTGTATGAGTCCACTTTACTCACCTGCAACTTGTGGGCCACAGGGTATGGTGTTACAAATCTGCTCCTGTTCTGGTTTGTTGCTGGGGTCGCAGGATAGGCTGTGCTTTCTGTCTGCTGTTAGACATCGAACCTCTCTCACCTGAATGCCCTTCCCACATGAACGGGAACACTAAGGACAAAAAACACAAAATGTTATAAACACAGACCTTTATATAATTTTTTTAGATCATGTGAGGTAGCGCATAACCAATAGGTTTTCCAACTGGGAATCTTTTACATGCAGTCTGCATTTGTACTCTAAGCTCTTTAGTTTGATAACATGCTGTGCATCCAGTAAATAACTGTCTACTCCATAGGTGTGGGCTTTACAAATTAACATTACATATCAATCAAATAATCCCATCCTCATGGTGAGACACATCTTCAACAGGGACAGGGAAGCTGCTCAGAATAAAAGAGAAGGTGGGTGGAGCTAAAATCAGGAAAATGGCCGATTAAAAGCCAGTGTCCTGAACTGAATCCAGTTGGGAATCTAAACCAAGACTTGGAGCTTACTAGCGCTGTTCTTGTAGTTGTGAGATGATAAAGCAGGACCAGGCCTAAAATCATTATCACAGATAGGAAGAAGAAGGATTCTTCATATTTATTCATTTTACATGAAACCGAAAACTAATAACAATATGGTTCTACAGTATAAAGCCTTTATTAACTGTTCATATCTCACCTTTACTTTTGCATCAGCAAAAGCCTGAATCAAGATTCTAACTAAACATAAAACAATTTTGTCCATTGCCCTGGTCTCTTACCGCGCTCCATTCAGTCGTGAACCACTGCGGCTGACACTCTCCCATGCTGCATTCCTGGACAGCTGCAGGCTTCTCCAGATGTGAGCACTCAGTAGGTGGCACGACAGTAAAGTTGCTCCCCAACTTCTGGACACAAACTATGTCTCTTCGCTGGCTCCCATCCCCACATTTGACATTACACTGAAAAAAAATCCTCACATTAGTTATATCAGCAATGGCCAATAAAAAAAGTAACAAAAGAGATAGAAACCAGGAAGTTAAAGGCTAAACTGATTAGAACTTGATTGTAAACATTTTAAAAATCGTTTGTCAGAGATCCTGAGATTATTTTTTTTTCTTTTTTCTATGTGATCTAATATTCTATCATTTATAAAAGCTTTCTGCTTTTGTTAAAGTGAGGGTACAGCAGATAATGTTAAATATCAACAGGTTTCACCACAGATACTAATTTTGAAAGACACAGAGTGTAGAATTTGGTGACATCTAGTGGTGAACATGCTGAATGCAGCAGACATTTTCTTGTCTTTGCTGTATATTTGGAGCTTAGACTCTGTAAGCCCACAATTCTGTTCAGCTCGTCACACTGTTTCTGTCTTCTTTTATGAAACTGTTAAACTAATTTTAGACAAAAAAAATTACACCTTTTTAAGTGCTGACATCAAATCTTATTAAAGTTTTATGTTTGAGGGTTAATTTAGATTATTAAAAATATTTGCTAAATGCTAGAATAATCTCTATTGTTCAACTTACATACATTTTCTTAATATTTGCTAGAAGTTCCTGTTAAAATGTACGACTTGAGTGAACTGTTTAGGTTATCCTTCAAAAACTGCCTCTCATTAGTCAGGATTAAAGGTTTTGTTGCTAATACACACGTTTTAGCCACATTTGTAAAAACTTTTAATGAGACTGAGATTGGGGCTTCAAGATGGAAACTTTATATCTAAATTGGCAGAACGCCTACTTGAAAGACTCATAATGGTTTTATCCGGTGTCTTGACATGTGGCTTCAGTATTTTTAGTGCTCTTTCTTTGTGATAACATATATGTGAGGAACTGAACCAGCTTCCTCTGCAGAAACATCCCAAAATTCAACATAATGTTGCCAACCCTATGGAAGGTATTCTCAGGTTTCTCATTTCCCCCGCTCCAAATGTAGGATTGGTTATTCTGGCTAAATCTTTCAAAGGAACTTCTTCAGACTGCAGGGTATGTCCATAAAAGTTAGGTGTTTTAAAGATCTCTATCAGGCTTATTTAATTGTTGTTGTTGTTTTTTTTGCTTTTATGCTAAACATGTAAGCGATGCTCATCTAGTAAAATGAAATGCTGTACATGGGTTAAAAGTAGCAAAAAATTGTAATCTTAGAATATGTAACATTGAGAACATAAGCATAAGTGAGGTAGTTAGAGCTACCTCAATTAGAGATAGTTCAGTTAAGGCTAACCTAAAACAGGTAAAGCTTAGTCAGGTGTAAAGAGACAGAGACAAAACATTTTCTACATTTATGTTTCAAATATTAATTTTGTAAAATGAGCTTCAATGTCCAAAATACTTTAACCGATACAGTTGGAGGAAAACATAACACCGTGGGTCCTACCTGTGTCCAGGGGCTGCTGTACCACATTGTCACTGGCACGCAAGGGCCCTTGTTGCAAGCCTTCATGTCTGCTGGTTTTTCAGCGATGCAGTCTCCCCCTCCTCCTCCCTCTTTCACCCCTCCTCGGGTGAGACAGACCACTTCTCTCCTCTGTACCCCGGGACCGCACTGCGCTGAACACTGAGGCCATAGACGAGGAGATTATGTTGAAGGCTACAGTTGAGTGCATGCATGTTTTTCCTTTTTCCCCCCACTGCTCTTGATCTGTGGGCTACTCACAGTGTTGGACCACTCAGTGAAGTACCAGTTGGTCACACAGGGGCCCATGTTGCACTCCTCACTTCCATCTGGGCGGAGACGAGCGTTGCACTCATTATCGTTCACAACGCTGCCCTGATCGCTGACGCAGCGCACAGCCCGTGTCCTCCTCCCTACTCCACAGTCCACTGAGCACTGCAGGAATGGACAACAGGAGAAGAAGTCAGACTGAGTTTGAGTTGCCTAAACTGTTGAAATGATAGTTATGAGCTCAGCTTAGCTTTATTCTATGCATCTAATTTAGGATGGAAATGGAGTGACAGGGTAAAAAAAAAACATCTTCTGTGTAGGAGGTTAATTTGGAGATGCTTTCTTTTTTGTTGACCCACCGTGCTCCAGTTGGAGCTGACTTCCCAGTGGGAGCAGAGGCGGAGCTGGCAGACCTGCGTTGAGTCCGGTGGGGTGAGGTGGGAACAGCGTTGAGGGTGGACCATGGTGGAGCGAGACCCGAAGCTCTGCCTGCACTGCAGCTGCCTCTGCTGCACACCCGGGCCACACGACACGCTGCACTCCGACCACGCACTGGCCTCCCAGCTAATAAACATAAAAAACAAGAACTCCCTTCATTTTACTTGTTTTTTCTTTAAAAAACTCATTATGACTTTACATATTTTAGTTATCTGATAAATAGGTTACTTAACTTTTTGTCACTTTACACACAGAATGGATGAAAATTATTTGATAAACAAACACAAAGTAGAGCATGAATGTAAAGCAGAAGTAAAACAAAAACTAAAGCTTAGTCATATTGGATGCAGAATGGTCAGAGAACATCACCCTTCAGGTCAGATTGAATTGAACTTTGACAGGGCCTTCATAACATAGTTACGCTTTGATCTAAACCATTCAGTTGAAGCTCTAGCTGAATATTTAGGATCAGTTGTAAGTGTTTTACTGCCTCAAAAATGTTCTCTTCCTGAACTGACAGGTATTTAGCTCTGACTAGCTTCACTGCCAACTCCCTGCTGAAAAAATACCCGCAGCATGATTCGACCACCACCATGCTTGAAGATGAGGGTGTTGTTTTAAAGTTTAAGTATATTATTTTCCATATAGGACAACGACTCCAGAGTACCTTCTTCCAGCTATTTGAAGTATCATCTGTGCCTTTTGGGATAACCTGTACATGTGACCTTCTTTCAGCTCCACTATCAGAAAGTCCAGATTTATCTGTCTGATAACTGCCTTCTTATTCTCTTCCTTAACTAAAAGTGTGCGAGTTCAGGTTGGATGGTCTTCATGGTGCTATTTGTTCTGTATGCTTTTCAGATGCTATTTGACCCAGCAAATCTCACAGAACAGCTGGAAACATACATAGATTAAATCACACACAGATAGACTCTTCTTTTTTAACAGTTTGGTGAAAACATTAGGTAGAGCTGCATTTTATTTAGCCCCTTGAACCCTACGGACCCACCGGCGGGTCCAGCTGCTACATGACCTCGTAATTTTACCAAACCCCCAGTATTGATGTAAAAAACATATTTGGCACAGTTTGGTGACATTTATGGATAAATGTGCCAAACTGGCCCCTCCGCCGAAGAAATTTCTCACTAATACCATTCTAAAATAAATATGATTCATCTGATTGAGTCCAAATTTGGTATATTTTTACACAACATTTAGATTTGAAAGTCTGTACTACTTTTTTGTGCTATAAATAATATTTTGGTAGTGTTTTGCAATGTTTATTTCAAAGAAAATGTTGGCGAGGTTCAAAAAATGCAAAATATTTTGTATTTTGTCCCTAATATTTCAGGCAGGGTCAAAGCTACAATGGTGCTGACACCAGAAAACCATTCTATGACATCTTACCTTTACAGACGTACCAAAAGTTTCTTCTTAAATCTAATAGCTTTGAGGCTATAAGTTATTTACTTTTGTGTGTTTTTGTCAGGCAGAAATTTATTTATACCCCCTTAGGGTGTAAGAGGTTAGGTGTATCAGAGTACGGGCTTAAAAAAACAAATCACAGTTTTTAGATTTCTATTTGCAAGGATTTTGAAACTAAATAACAAAATGTTTGTTTTTTTGTCATTTAAAAGGCAAAATATCTCTGAATACTTTTGCGAGGAACAATAAAAAGAAGGAATTTTACTAAATAATAGATAAAGTAGGTCAGCTTACAAAGGAGGACAGGGTTGTGTGTTACAAGACTCCTCCTCTGCGGCTGGTTTGGCTGCAGAGTCACAGTTCTCCTCGGGTACTTCTTCCTCCGTGTGGCGGTTTACACACAAAAACACTCTGTACTGAGAACCTAGACGGGGATGAAAAGAGTGAATCAGGAATTTTACACTTTCTTGCACATGCAAAGCACATCCTGTGGAGGGAGACCTTGTATCGTCTAAATAATCAAGCAGATGTAGACCAACTGAATGAGAATCTCTACCTCTGCCACAGGTCACAGAGCACTCGGTGAGGCCGCCTCTCCTCCACACGAAAGGCAGCTGAGTGTCGGGCGGCAGGTCAGTGCGAGGGGGGATCCGGGCATTTCTATTGGGCGCAGAGCCCTGAGGGCGTGTCCTTTCAGGCGACCAGCGATCAAAGGATGGGGGGTTGAAGGCAGCGGATGAGGCAGAGGAGGACGAGAAAGAGGGGTAGGAAGGATCTGAAACAAGAGGAGGGTCTCCTACTGATACTGTGAGGGGACCTGAGAGAGAGGATAAACAAAGATAAATCAGGAATGGCAGGAAAGGTGGAAGAGAAGCTAATAAAGATGTATAGAGGGGAACATACAAGAGATTATCTGTCTAAGGGAAAACAAGCTGAAATATGTAGAATAGGAGGAAGTCTGTGTGAGTCAGAGGGTAATGGTATTATGATGAGGTCAGGGTCTCATGACGGTAAACATGTTGAGATGATAGCCTCGCATCTGGGTCATGGGCAAACAGAATCATGCAAACAAGCCGAAACAAGATTCTCTCCCACAGCCACGCCTGTCCTAATCCAAAGAGGCGTCTATCAGGACTTGCAGCGGTGCTGCTTTGAGTCATTTTGAGGGGGAAAAAAGGGCCACTGTGTGATGTAGTGTTGAGTTCAAAATTGGGTTCAGTCTTTGACAAGAAGAGTTGATAAGTTAAAAGTGGTTGGCATACCGCGAAGGGAAGCCCTCGCTGTGTCTCGCTCCCTCAGTGTCTCCCTTGGTGTCTCGCTCTCTGCCTGCCTCTCCTTCTCTCCCTCTTTCTTCTCCACTGGGATGTAAAACTCATAATCAATGCCCGGGTTCTCCTTATGGAAAATTATCTGGAGATGAAAACAAACACGAGAAACGCAGAAACGTTTGTGTCAGACATCAAAAACGCAGCATATTCATCAGACATATTTTGCAACGGATTTTGGTGTGACTAAATAAAGCTACTGGAATGAAAGGAACCCTGGTGTTTAATGAAATCTCTGGGTGAGGCTGTTAAAATAAAGCCCTTGGCACTATGATGTGGTTCAGGCTAAGATTTGATGTAGCTGTCTTCATGATGTTGTAATATTCAAACGTGCCTGCCTGGATCCACAGCAGATGAGCATCGAGCGTTTAAGGCTAAAGCCCATTAGCTAAAGCCCCATAAGTCACTCTGATTACCCTTTATCTTCCTCATTCATCCATCTCTGTTTGGGAGTTAGGATGCCTTTGACTGCTGAAGTATTTTGCAGTGCATGAAAAAAACAGGTTGTGAGATTTTTTTGTATTATAAAAGACCATTTTTTAAATTATTTGTAAAGATTAATCTTAAAAATATTAAAGTTCTGGCCATATGATGATACTGTCCAAGCTTGAGAAAAAGTGTACTTATTGCGGCCATGAATAAGTTTTACCATTCTAACACTGGAAAAAATCCAATTCTACATAGATAAGTCATTTTTTTCCTAAAATAAGTGCATTTGCTCTTGAATTGAGGAGATAAAAGAAACATTTTTCCAATGGAACAAGATAATTTAGATTAAAAATAACTTATTTCAAGTGCATATTATCGAATTATCTTATTTTAAGAGCAAAAATACTAATTCCATTGGCAAACTGTCTCATTAACCTATTCAAATCAAGTGTAAATACACTTAATTTGACGAATGTTTACTTATTTTTAGTGATTTAGTTCCAGACCTTCCAGTGAAGATACAGTTTTAATCCTCGTCCTCTAGAAAATGTAGCCAAAGCTGATGCTATGTTTTCTGCAGGATACTAATATTCCCAAATACCATTTTAAATGTTTTCAAAGACCCGCTCTTTGTTTATTTACAGCGCTGAAATAAATGCCTTCCTGTGCTTCAGTACTCACATAAAGCTGCAGCTGTGTTGTGGTTGGTCCTCGCGCCTTCAGAGACTCCCCTCTCTCTTCCCCCTCTCCCCCCTGTGCTCTGGGTCGGCTGTATATGAAAGTAGTCCCCCCCGCCTTGTACTCTCCTGGAGGGTCCACAGCCCAGCGGCCATTCACCACGGACGCCCCGGTGCCGCTCCGCAAAGCTGATAGCAAAGAAGGTGGAAACGTCAGATAGCTTCAGGCAACATTTTACTTTTGTATTTGAGGCCTAGTTAGATCTGGCCAAGTCCTGGAAGCTCTTTCCTGTGTCCAAACACACTCAGACAGACAAACAGGAGGCTACAGAGGCAAAGATACACACACTTCACTGATTCCTCACAACCCAAGGAACACATGCTGTATTTGGCCTGACTACAAGACCACAAAATCTACAGTTTTAGATGAAGCCAGCACACACATGATCAGAGGCCAACTCTGCACTCTGCTCGCCAACACTTCACTTTTAGCTGGATCTGTAGCCGATAAATCTCCAATTACACCAGTGTGAGCGTGCATTGGAATTCGCTTGTCCTTAAGATCTCACCCAGGTAGTTGGGGCTTGCTCGTCTCTCTGCGATGTTGATGAATGTGGCTCTTGGCGGGATGTCCAGGATCTTGTGGTATCCAAGGGGAACCGTGACATTGTGGAAGCTTCCAGTCACCTTTTTGCAGGAGCTGTTCCGCCCGCCGCACACCCCACACTTGTCGATGATGGCACTGGAGCCCAGCACGCCGTCGCAACCCTCAGTCTGATAGGAGAAAGGAGGGGTTGTTAACAGCTCGCATCCAGTTTTATTGTTTATTTAACTCTTTATTGTGTAAATTGGTTAATAATGCTTGCAAGACTCCTGTCAGAGGCAAAGAAGTGGAATGAGGTTGAAGTCAAGGTGGGGGAACAAATGAGAGAAAAGATACAGAGAAAATAGGTCCATAAATAGGGCTGTCTGAATCTGAATTGCAGGGTTAAATCAGCATCCAGATGTGAGACATATTAGAAGAGCCAGATTCTGCTTTATTTCAAGCCTAGGACAGCCGGGTCTTCCACACACAAACAGCTGAATGAACTCACCAGACACTGTCCCTCTACGCAGACGTCGTTGGCACTGGTGTTGAAGCAGGGCGTGCCATCTCGGACACGTTCCGCCAGCTGAACGTAGAACCGATAACCAGCAGGTCGGCAGGTGAGCTCGCACTGCTTGTCTAAACCAGCTGCGACACACAAGCAGAGAGTTTTAGGATTATATCACCACATTTAGAGTGAAAAAAATAACTACTCACATCTTTAAGAAAATCCTCACATATTTTCCTTCTAAGACAAAAAAAACTTTATTGTTTATTCAGATTTTTCTTTTAGATGAACCAATAAAAATTAGTTAAATCAATCTGGAGAGATTGGATATACGTTTCAAAGGTTTAAAAAAGAAAAGACATCAACCGTAAGAAGCAATCCCTCCAAATAATACATCGGGGAGGCAGCGTCATGGTGTGGGGATTATTTCCTTCAAAAGAAAATGTTAGCTAGACTAAACTGATGGAAAGTGGGGTTTAGAAAAATCTGGATAAAATATTCACAGTTCCATTTACTTCGCAATTATCAACTACTCTGTGTTGATCTACCACATAAAATCCCTATACAAGACATAAAAAAGAGACTTTTCAAGGAGACAAAATGTAGAGAGATTAATTAGGTGTTAGAGTTTTTTTTATTTTTTAGAAAGATGTTTGAATAAAGAAAGTGTAGGAAAAATTCCTTTAGCCCTCTTAAATACCTTCAAATGCAAGCCCGTAAAGTGATACCGGAACATATGACCTTCTGTCTGTCACAAAGCAAGATAGAGATCAGCAACTACCCATGCTGCTCCACTTGCTACTACACCTTCCCAGGAGAAACATACATATTCACAGGAGAATTGTAAACATGGATTTATGAGTGGACCTGAAGGCAGAGGGGGTGTAAGGAACCAAAGGACGAGAGCACAGCTTCAAGGTTAGGGAGGAAATGAAAGCCCTTCGGTCACAAGACTGTTAGCGTGGAGAACAGGCAAAGAAGCAAGACAGGCTAATAATGTGAAGATACTTTTTACACTCTGACAGATCTGGTTCTTTGTTCCCTAATGCATTGACAAAAAACATGTATGATAAACGTCACACCACCGTCCTACTTATAGTAGAAAATATGGAACTATTTATTTTATATCACGAAAGAACTGAAAATAGGGGCGCCAGGAGACTTCAATGATTACCGTTTTCTATAAGGAAGGATATCAGGGAGCTTAATGGGTGTTAAAGTCCTCATGCAGAGAGAGCAGAAGTGTTTGTGTGGACTGAGCTGTGGATATGTTGCAAGAAATACTGCTGCAGACGCAAACTCGCTGCATGAGTCACGAGTCATAGATTAAGCTAGAGGTTGGGGGAAACAGGCGTCTGTGCTTCCGTGGATATTTTAAACAAATGGCATAAGCACTACAAATGAGAAGGAGCATCAAAGCAGCTTGTCATTTCTGGGAAAACCACCGCTCCGCAGGGAAAATCATTTTACCTCAGAGATGTAAAAATGTCTCTAAAAACTTCGCAATTTCTTAAACATTTGAGAAGATTTTATCACGAAAACAGAACGTCTGCCACCTTGAAAAGCCATCAGCCGAAGCCGGTCAAAGTTCCCATCTTCTTTAAAGTCAGACGTTTAAAAAGAGATAGGTGGGAGCAAAGTGTAAAGGGCGCATACTTGACCTCTTCTCTCACCTAGAGAGGTTGAAGGATCTCCACATGCTTCCACACAATTGCAGAACTTCTAGAAATTACTTAAAGCAGCAAGAGCTTTACCAGATGTCATACAAGCATAGTAATACCACAGTTAGAACCTCAAAAAGAGAAGTTAACCTCTGTTGGAGAAAGCTTCAAAAGTTCCTCAGAAAGTCCAGTGCCATAACTGGCTCTTGGAGGATTCAATTGAGGGACTAGTTTGCCACCAATGCAGAGCTTGATCAGAAATGGCAGCAGGTATGTGTGAGTGTTCTAAGGTAAAACATTAAAAAAAAGAAAATTGTAGGATAGGATTCCAGAGGACTAAGTTATAATTGTTTTCTCTGAAGATGCTCCCATTATAACAACTGAAGGAAAGATTAATCTTAACTTGAGTTAAGCAGAAAGCATCTTATGTAGGGCTTAAAATAAAAGTTTAAAAGTGATTTTATCTTTCAGCATCATAGTAAGTTACTTATCCAAAACTGTTAACAAAACTTTAAACTGTTAAATATTTTTTAACTTACTAAATCTGTATTTCAGTTAAACTATTTCATTTAAACAATAAACTCTTACCTCAAAATAACCTTCAGGATTGGGTGAAATTTTGTGTGCATCTAAAGTCATGGGCAGGGAGGAAAAAAAATAGCCTGCAGATGCATTCAGTGTGTTTCTGTTGTAATTTCTTTGCAAAGGATTCTCTGCATTACAAGCCAAGCTCTGGAGGGTTTTGCGGAAAAAGTGATCAGCATTAGAGGTGAGCCATACTGTGAGTCATGACAGATACAAAAAATGTTAGGACCCACAGCACAGATCAATCCTTGCTCTCTGGATGAACACTTTTTAAGCCTCAGACTAGTAATGAGGTTGAGAGATGCGTTCAGACCAGGTGGAAGTAGAAAAGGGTTCAAGTACAGAAAGTTTGTACCTGAAGTGGATGTTTACGATAACTCAGTTTTATCAAAACATGGATTTAACTGAACCAGACACATCAGATAGCTTGTAAACACATACTGAAGAGCGAGTTTTCATTCTGCACATGTAAACATCTGCTTTAGCTTTTCAAACAAGACACTGCAGCAAAGTGACAGAATTACGAGTTAAAAGATACAACTGCACAGCATAAAGCCAGGGATGAGAAGATAACTTCCAAAATAGCTTAATAAAGAACACAGCGAAGACACAGACAAAAACTCTTTTCCTCATTTTTTTTTTTTACTATTTTGGCCTTTACAGCTTTAGTAAAATCAAAGATGATGTCTCATTTTTTTTTACCATTAATATTTTTATCTTAGTTTGAGTGAAAATGTATCCGAAGTTAACTTTTTCTAATCATCTACCTTTATAGTTTAAGACAAAACTAATTATACTTGTCATTGCATAATACAATTTAATAGAAAACAGCCTTACTTTTTTTTAAAACATTAGGAGAAAAAAAAAGTTTTTAAAGGAAATCTCAAATAAATTGGAACCAATTATGATAACAAGATCATCAATACACATTATACCATAAAGCAAATCCATACTCTAGATAGTAGAAGAGATAAAGACACAAACTGGCTTTGAATCTGTTTGTGCTGATATATAATTATTAACTTGGTAATATATTTAGTTGTTTGGGTCATTGTGATAGTGCAGAATACTCCTTTGACCTGTCTATATATTGTAGATTTGATGCTTCTCTAACTAAGGTGGTTCTCCTGCAAAAGATACAGAAAATAAATGGATAATAAATTATAATAACTTATGGTTTCATTATTGAATACATGTTTTATGAATCTCTATGTTTTAAAGAGATTTTCCCTGGGAGAAATGACTGAACTTAAATAAAAATACAAAACCAAAAAAAACTAATGTAACAAGCTCTGCATTATTTATTTTTATTAGATTGTTATTGGTCTATCTTGTTTTGCAATATGTCGAGATAAGCGGCCGTTGAGAAGAGTTGGTGGAGGTTCATCCATCTGAGCGTAATTTTGGTGTTAATCTAACTGTGGCTCCTTTTTTGTCAGGGTGGGGGGTTAATCGACAAAGACAACTTTCCCATGTTTTATGTAATGATATGATGATGACCATGATCTTTTAGGCTTATCATTAAAATTTTGTCATTCTCATATTTAAATTTTTTACTTTTGTATAGGAGTATGGAGTCGGGGGCCCTTTATGAGGGGCCATCCGTTCTCTGTACAAGCGGAGCAGGAGCATGGTTCGCACTGCCGGCATTAAGTCGGACCTGTTCCCAGTGCATGTTGGACTCCGACAGGGCTGCCCTCTGTCACCGGTCCTGTTCATAACTTTTATTGACAGGATTTCTTTAAAGATCACCACCCACTTATTGCACAAACACAAAAAAAATAAAAAATTAACATGCAATTTAGCACCCCTGGTTTGGAATCTCTGAAGATCTGGCCCTTAGGATTTAAGTGTCATGATCTTGTCGCTGATGGCTGGCTTAATTGCTCCTTTGATTCACCTGTCTAACTCTGCCCTGCTTATCATCAATGCTCATCTAATCCACTTGCTCCCGCTTCTATTTAAACTGCTTGGTCCCTGTCATTAGTGCCAGATTATTCTTAAGCCTTTCGAGAGAGTTTTTATACCATAACTAATAGTGTTCTGATTGCCTGACCTAGTCACGTTTCTGTCTTCGGACCTTTGAGCCTGCCTGCCCCTGTTCTGATCTGTTTGCCTGACCTGTCTTTGGATTCTGTTAGATTCTTTTGTGGATTGAACCTGGATCTGCCTCTTGACTTTGCCGTCTGGATTATCTTGCCTTCCTCCGTCATCTGTTCTGTGTCCTTCAAGGCTTCGGCATCTGGAAATCTCAGTTCAGCAAGCGACTGGATGGTATCACCAACTTCTCACGGTCTGAACTCTGTGTTTCCTCTCACCAGAGTTACCTGCCTCGGACGCCCAAGCCGCCACGGCTGCAGATCCGCAAACCATCCGTCGCTACTTTCATAAATGTTTTTAAGTTTTCACACTGTCTGTGTTGCCTGAATATCAGGTCCCTCTGTTCTGAGTCATTACATTAAGATCCTAAACTGGAGATGCTCAGCATTCTCTCAAGAACAGAAAACAGACATTAAGATCTTACACAAAGCTGAGACGAAAATTCTTACTTCATCTTCCTACAGTTAGCTAGTTGGGTTATTCCTACATGGCTTAAAATATTTTTCATGTTGTCTGTCACAAGCTCCTTCATTCTGTTTGCAGAAATACAAACAGAGTGGTTAAATTGTCTTCAGGTTTCTCCTTTTTAACACCCACACTGCAGCTTTGCCTCCTTTATCTCAGGTTGTTTTAAGCCAATGTCCCTATTGAGACATTAAAAGGTCAAGGTTTGGTCATGTCAGGGACATTGTTAAGGATGCCAACACTCCTCTGAAGAGTGAAAATTATATATTTTAACTTCAGCTAGACAGGACTGCAATGGCATGGTCTGTGTGAACATGCAGGTGTCTGTAAAGCATGCTAAATGTTATTTTCAGCATAGCATCCTCTAAAATACAGGAAAAATACAAAAAGGAAACAGGAAAAAGGGAAAAATTTAAGCCCTAAATCTTTCTTTGCTGGCTTAGTGGTTTTCAATATCCATCTGTTATGGTTACAGATTTTTAAATCTAAAAATGCCAAAGATAAGTAATGTGGTTTCTCAGAAATCAACATCTCTTTAATTTACAAATTCAAATCCTGGCTCCTATTCTCCTTTAATCTTTTTAATCAAGTTTGACATTATTCATTTAACCTATCTCTTCCCTCTGTATGTTTATCAGTTTGCTCTGGTCCTAAATTTGTCTCCACCATAAATCTGACTCACTCTCAGCCTAGTTTTCAGACACTGGCATATAAATATTGCCTAAATATAGTTATTCACTATCACACCATCTAAACAAACTCCAGCAGCAAGAGAGAGAGAAGGAGAAAGGCAGAGGGGCAGGAAGAGGAGAGGATAGTGTCTAGAGAGGGGACAGGAATTGGGAAAAGGGGAAAATGTTCAAGCTAAACAACACCTGCACAGACAGTGTTGATAAAGCACTTTAAGGGTGAGGGGGTATTATTCACGGTATCATTTGTTTGACACGTAGAGCTTTAATGCAGTAATGCAAAGATCAAATCAGGATGAAAGGTGCATCAATAATTCAACTTTAATAGTAACCTGAAGTGAAGCGCAGCTCTTTTTAAACACTTCATTTATCTCTTTAGATTGATGATGGGGGCTTGATGGAAAAGGTTTGGGCTCTGGCCAGTGTTAGCCGTATTAGCAAAACAGTGCAACACAATTTACTTTGCATGCAGTAAAAAAAAAAAAAAAGTCATTCTCTGGTAAAATCCACTGACGTTGTCTGTTTAGCATCCAGTAAACACATTGGATAGGTTGTTTTATACAATTACCCTCATAAGTAATAGATTACAAAGATGTTTAATATTAGAGGTCGTCAGGTTTCCCTGCTACTGCTGGGTCTTCTTTTCTTTCAAGAAGACATTAAATGGACATTTCAGCTCATTAAAATGGATCTTTTGAGTAGCTATTATGAGTTAGCGTCTTATGCACGACCGCTGAAAGCAGGCCCAGGTTCCAAGGGGTTTCGGGGTGCTCAGAACCAGATCCGACTAACAAACTTTAATTAAGAACACATTTTTTTTCACAAGACACGCTGACGAAGAAATACATAGGCTTGATATTAATGTTAAATGAAATATTTTCTTATAATTGCATTTTCAAAATCTGTCCTTGTCGCATTGGGAAAGTAACCCCCGACCACCGTTTCCACACTCCGGAATGGTTTGTCAAAAGGAAACAAGCAAAAAACAGAAAGCGATTGAAAACAGAGCCAGAGTCTGAAAAAAAACTAACTTTGAGTTGTAAATCAAGATGTAGGAAACAAAATAAATTAAGAAATGAGAGCTCCTTAGAGATTGTTGCACAGTTTCTATTAAGAAAAAGATAGATTATTTTAATAAACATGACAGTATCTCCCAACTATGAACAATATTGGTATTTGTCTGGGTGACAATGATGTTAATAAAGCATTTATTACCACTTTATTATATAGAATAATAACAACAAAAAATATTTCTAGTGATGCATCAGAACATTGCCAGATTATTTGCTACGGTATTACAAATATGAATTTGCCACAAACAGCTCTGACATCCAGGGATATGGATGCAGCGGCTTGATGCTTTCCATTGTCCTTTCTGCTTGGCTGAGGAAATATCTGCCTCCAACATTTTAAATATTCCACCCTTTGTATTTTGTTTTCCTTCTGGACAAAAACCCATAGTAACATCTGGCGTTCGTTAAAAAATGGGAAAAAAAACAATCTGCATTCAGTCCTTTGTCAAATGACTGTTGTAGCTGGAAGTTTTCATCAGCAGAAGTTCAGCTTGCAGAACATATGTAGGCACCAGAGGAATGGGAATGCACAATCAGGAATGTAAAATATGGAAAGAATCATTGTTATTTTGACGTCAAAAAATGGGCACATCTGGCAAAAGCTATTAGCTTTCTAAACAGGTAGCACAGAGAGGGTTTAGTGCTTCTATTTTTCCATGAAAACATTCCCTTTCTGCAGCTGGAAAAGAGATTGGAGGAAGTAAGAAGCCTGATCTGCAGCAGTAATATTGCAAGATGGAAAACTAAGATACGTGGCTGACACTAAATAAAACACAGAGAGGGAGGACTTAATTGGGTCATTTCATCTGATCCATTGCTTACATGAAAATATTGACGGCAGCAACTTTTACTGCCAGTCTTTAAGCACCATCAGGTTCTAGTTTTCAGAAGAAAATCATGTTTTTGTTACACGCTCTACTGGATATCTGGTTTCAATTTCGTGCAAAGCTTATATTTAGGGATAGATTGGGGAGTATGTTTTGTGTTATGACAGAGCAGAACAAAAGCTGTGTATGTAAAAGATGGGCTTCTGGGTCTACAGCTTCAGTTTTACTGATACAGTGGAACCCTAAATGCACAGAACGATGCCTACAAAAATATACACATGCAAACTATTTTCCCACATATTAGCCCAGATTTACTGAGCTATCCACATCCAGAACACCCCTGCTGCTACGCCCATGATGTAAATACACAGGAGATCAGGCACATGCTTTATACGCTTAATGACCAACACTGCTGAGATCATCTCACAGCTGCGTTCACTCCTCCTCCTCCTCCCATATTTCTGATAATCCTTCTATTCACTCTTCCTTCTTTTATATATATAGCATTCCTCAAATATCTCAGAAAAATGCCTTCGCTGTCTCTTTTTTTTCTCCTTTCATTGGAAAAAATAGACTGAAAGGACATTTATACAATGCAAAGTTTTCATACCCCTTGACTGTCATCTTTCCTGTCCGTTCTGGAAAATAACTAATCACAAACACAGCATGACACAGCCACCATTATATGGGAGACTTGAAAAAATGAACCCTAAACTGTTAAGCAATTCTGCTCAGTCAGAGTGAATAAGGAGGAACAGTTAACATTGATTTACAAGGCTTACAACAGATTTGTTATTGGATCTAGGTCTGGGCTTTGACTAGGCCATTCTTTAAAGGGTTGCTGTTCTGCTCCACTTCCATCTTAGGTCTTTAAAAGCCTTTAACAGGCTCACACCCAAACTAAATAGATAAGACCCTCTTTCCCAGGCGATACAGAACACTAGCATCCCTGCAGCATCATTCTGCTACCACCATGTCTTTGAATGTTGCATCTTGCACATAGACCAAGAAGTTAATTTCAGTCAAACTCGGCATGTCTTCTTAACTAATTATGGCAAAGTTCCAAAAGTTCTCCTGTATGTAAAGTATGTAGTTAATTTTTCATTGTGTCATTTTTGTTGTCCCTCTTTCACAGAGTTCAGATCCAGGGAGGTCGGCTGAACAATTGATTTGTTCTTTAGATTTACTCCATATTTTTTACCTGCTGCAGATCTCTGTAGCTCCTCAAAATGAAAAACGATGCTGGTTGTCTTCTCTTACGGGGTGGGGGCTGTCAGATTTGGGGAGGGGAGATAGCCTCGTCTGTTTAGCATTGCCTTTGGAGTTACATTGAGGTTGACTCTATTTGCTAGTTTTATAACTTCTGAAAACAACTGATTGCCGGATTTTATTTATGGTTATCAGAGTAAAGGGGCCTGCTGATAAATGTGTGCTACCCTCAGAGATTATTTTAGCATTTAATGATGGTTGAAATATAATGTAAAATGTCATTTTTTGTGGTGATAACATCAAAGAAAGTGTAAAGGTTATAAGTGCTTTTCCAACATTCTGCAGTAAAAACCCAAGATGAGCACATGGAACATTAATGTTGGCCTTCTTCGTCTCCCACTGCTCATATGACAAAAGCACTTGCATCTCATCACATCTCACTACTCTCGTGTTCTTTATCTCAGGCTGCAGGAATCTGTGTCCTCAGTCAGAGCAGGGAGGAGACGCTTGGCAGGAGAGGCAGGCAGAGAGGGAGAGATGTTGGACAAACAAAAGGAAAAAGAAAAGAAGGAAAGTATTCTGAGCAAAGAACAGAAGCAGACTGAGCTCCAGTCATTTGCTTTTCCCTCTCGCCTCCCATCACATTCAGGGCTGCGTCAAGAAGCGGGGGATGCTGGGGGGTTGGGTATGAGACGAGGCCTTCCAAGAGAGAAATTTGAACCCACTCAAACTCTTATTTTATTCATCCCTTCACTGTGCCAGTTAATTCTCCCTATAAACCCCCGTCCTGAATTAAAGCAGGGAAACTCTTTAATGACTGTGCAAGTGTGTTAACTCAGTGTTTACCTTCAGTGAAAGGCTCCCAGTTGTAGAGGCGACCCATGAACCTCTGGCTGTTAAAGGCGGTGCACTGCTCTGCTCTGGAGTCCACCGCGTCTCCTCTGCACACCTGGAGAGCCAAAACACAAAGACAGAGAAGGGGGGGAAGGTCAAATAATTTAGAGACACACAATGTGCTGGCATGAGCAGCTTCCAAAGCTAAGGCTGTTTCTCTACTGGTCCCCAAACAAGTTAGGGTGGAGCAGATTTATTGGAGAGCAAGGAAAAACTTCCAATAATGAAACAGGAGAATTAACTGGAGGCCATGGAGGTAGGCATAAACGCGCCATGATTTTATACACGCAGCCTGCATGCTGCTTTGGCCAGCAGCAAGCACATTCACAACATATGGAAGTGATAGATTTTCTGGAAGCGGCTGCTCCCATAAATCTGCTGGGAGTTTCGGTGAAAGTGAACGGCTATGTGAGCACATGCATGTGAGTGTGAGCAACTCGAGCTCAAGCTTCAAGAAATCCTCATGGAGTCATGGAGTTTCAGAATACCTGCTCATAGACAGCAGCTGAAATATTATGCTGACAAAAGCCTGCCAGGTTGTAGACATCCACTTAATGAGCATTTCCATCATCAAACAACACAAGACAGCGAAGAACATTTACCAATAATTGCTGAAAGAACAACACCTCAATGCTCATTCTTTATTCCTCATTTTACTTCCAAGTAGACTGACTTGCCAGTGAATTTTTTGAAGCTCTCATTTTTTTCCTTTTGACTTTATGTGATTTCACATTTACTTTCTGTTTAAGCATTCAAACATTTGCAGAGACAAATCCCCTTAAAATGACTTAGACACATAAAGGCTCCAAAATTCAAAGATTGTACCAGTGTATAATGATCATAGACCAGACAACCTCTCAAAGAACAGTTTTAACAGCAATTATATGTATTTCTTGAGTTTAGTCTTTAAAACTAAGAACAAGTGACAGACAGAAATTACTACTAAAATTACTAAAATCAAGAAAAAAAAACAAAACAGAAATCTTTGGGAAAAACTACGCCAACTGATGAAATTATCTGTCAATGCACCAAAAGGAAAAAAAAAGATTTACAATTTTTAAATCTAGAATTAAGCATGTTGAACCATTAGAAATGAAAAATTTATGTTTTAAAAAAGAGAAATGATCTAACCCATCTAAATATGAACACATATTTTTGTAGTGCATGGATGACCAGCTGAATATGAAGCATCTCTTTAGGTACTCTTTCAGGTCTTTGGTGAATTTTTTTGTCTACTTTTTAAATAAAAGCCATTTTAGATCTTCATTTGTTCATAAAAGTTGGACTCTGTTCTATTTTGTGATGATCTGGTAGAAAACAATGTTTAAAGAAATTGTCAAAGTCTTAAGAAAAAATCAAAAGACCTTTTAAAGATGCGAGAAATTAAAAAGTTGCAAAAGTAAAAAAATAAACTTGCTTTCTCTTTATAATTTCCATAGTATTATATAATTATGGTATTTGTAAAGTTTTTGTTAAGCAAATGTCTACATAACAGCATAGATGGCTGTGTTTACAACAATGCCCCTAATAGAGGAAAAAATATTAGGAGGATTTGAAAAGATTAAGCAACGAAATTCTGTAGCCAAGAATTTAGAGAAAAGATTTACTTCTTTGCACGATCTCTGCAGCTATGAAAGCTTATAACACATAAGACCATGGTGAAACACAGCCTTACATCAATCTTCATCTGGAGACCTTTCATTATATGGGCTCCCCAATCTAACCTATTCATAATCTCACTTCGATGAGGTGTAGCTATAAAATTTCTTTTGCTATGGGGATCAGTTCAAAAATAAAGGTTTGGGGATGGTTTTAACACAAAACCGAAGAGTTATTTAAAAATGTTCAAATGTTTGTTCAAATGTGACTGCTTCTCACTTTCACAAAGTGAAAATGAAAGATTTGTGCCTGATTGAAAGGTTTGGTGAATATAGTAAGCTCTGTCCTCCTATAAAGTGGAGGTCACATTGGGACTCATGCAAGAACTGTTTCTATGTACAAATTCGTTCTTCAATCAATCGTATGAGTGATTTAAGAGAAAATGTCACATTTACTATGTTTCTCCTATTTCTAATCTTCTCTCAGGCCGAATTAATTTTACAAGTTCTCTGGACTCGACATACGAGTCTTGCACAATCAGTGAGTTGTTAACCCAAACCTAGTTCAATCATTAAATACTCAGAAGAAACTGTCCATTTAATTAGACTAACAACATTACTTATTATTCTGTAATTATAAATTCGTTGATCATAGAACTATCTGTCACTACACCTGCAGTTAGCATGTCGCTATCCAGGGGAGACTGGTTACATTTGTTGTATTTTGTCTGAAAAAGAACAATCAGTGAGTTTTAGGTGAGATCAAACTACTATTGAAATAACATCTGGATGGAATATTCTGAATAAAGTTGATGCTTGAAACTCCTCTAACAATTATTTTCCTCCATGAAAGCTCACTGACTTTATTTTTACATAAAATGTGGAATGTTTGAGTTTGGGTCTTTCTGAGTTTATAAAATTAGAGTTTCACCGTTAACATTTTTATGTTAATGGGTTGTTTGAGGGAGATGGAGAGAGCAATCAAGGGATCGCAGATGTGTTCTAGAGGTGTACAGTAAACTTGCACATTTGTATTAAAATGATATTTTGGAGAATATTGACATGTCGGTTGTTGCCAAACTCATATTAAGTTTTACATAATATGTAGCACGTCTTGCTTCCAGCAGTAGGTTTCATTGATCGCCTTTCTTTTGACATGTTTCTGACACAAGTTTTATATTGATTTTTTTTTATCATTATTTCTATCTTTATTTTATTTTTACTTCATTTACAGCTCTTGTGATTTATTCCCCACTCCTTGGCTTATACTGCTCCTTTAATTCTGCAGCTCAGCTGTCAGCCAGCAGAAACTCGATCTCCAAACTGGTAAAGATTTTCTTCTTTGTCTTCAATGCAATTTCTATGAATGGACACCTAGTGACAGTGTGGGAAATCATAGCCGTATATGAAATTACTGGGGCGGTAATTATGAAGATTTAAAATTCTCATGATGTGTGCTAACTAACACACAGGTGGACTGCATCATGTTTACGCAGATCATTTGTAAAGTTATCTGCTTTTAAAATTCTTCGTTGAATCTGATGTGTTGCATTTTTAGAAGCCTGGGAAAGAGAAAAATAGAAATTTACGACAAGAATACAAAAATGATGTTGGATTGCAGCCAATTGTCTTGCTGCAGCAAGAGAGATCTTTGCAAATCTTGTTCTGATTTTCTATTCTACTTTCTCAATTCAGTCCACTTTTCCTGTCACATTCTTATCTACTTTGATTTCTTGATTGTTATTTCCTGTGATTAGAGTTACAGGAAATTAAAAACTGCTGATAAAATTTGGAGTATTTGTCAGCAGAATCTTTGGCTAATGTTCTTTATCTAAACGTTCTGAGCACTTCACCACTGAAGACACATTCAGGTACCGTGGGAAGCCAGAATCTCACCGCCTGGCAAAATCAAAGCCCTGTGATACACAACTGGCTTCAACACACACACAGGGGCAGACATTGGCATTTCACACACAGACATCTCAGATGTCTTTGCACCTCTAATCTCTGTCAACTATGAAATCGTCTTGTCTTTAACTCCTCTCCGTCTTTGATTTGTTCTTCATTTTTCTCACCCCGCACCTCTTAACTCACACAGCTGTTGCAAACAGCTGGACATTTCTAAAGCTATCCATTTTGCAGGGACACAGCAAGGGAATTATCCAGTCTGTAGATACATCTACTCTCAAAGACACAGTCATGTGTCGGTCCTCCGTTCCCACGCAAACCAGCAGCAGTGACAAAGTTTAGCCTCAAAGAGACTGATTGGCCAAACAACAGATTGTGCACTCGCTAACACTTAGCTCCCTGTATTCCTCACTCACAAAGAATTATTTATCCAGAGTATGCATGTGGATACATGTGGCTATTGTGTCTCAAAGGGTCATATGTTCTCCTAAAGTATGAAACCAGCTCCTAAAATTTTAAGTGGAAAGGTTTGCAACCATTTTTCTGTGCATAAATTAATAGATCTCGATCTAAATGATGTGCTACAGCTCAGCTACCAAAGTGAATCTGACAAAAACCAGAAAGGCACCAAGGTTCTTGAGGGTCAGCGCACACATGTGACCCAATGTATCAAAGAACCGTATAAATCTGTCATGGAGTATGTGCTAAATGTGGTCAGTGATGCTTGTAAATATTTCTGCAGGACATAAACATGCAGAACCACATTTAACACTGGATAGTGTTGATATAAAATGGCATGCATGCGTGCTAACACAGTAAAAGTATATACAATGGACAGAAAGCTATAAACAGGCATGCAGGGATGGTGTGTGCAGCTGTGCAATGCAATGGCATGTTGAAAACGAGAAAAAGAAGCCTCCACTATAGGCCCTGAATGCATTTAAAAGAAAGGAAAGAATGCAAGAAGACTCAAGTGTGTGCAGTCATGCGGATGATGACAGAAGCCCAATAGTTTGAATGGACTCTCCTCCCAAGAGGGTTTAGGGTGTGCAAAAACATCAGGAGGCTAATGGATGAAATGGTAGAACAAGGAGGGATGGTGAAGTGAGAAGTAAAACAGACACAAGAAGACGCACATTCACTTCAGTTTCATGATACTACAGGAGAGTCTGTGTTATTGAAAGGACATGTATGCTAGGAGTAAAGGATGAGGGGGTCTTTATTTATGTTAAGGAAAGCATGAACAGGCTGAGAGGAGTGGGGTGCAGGGTAAAGACACTTACTGAGGCAAATAGCAGGGCCCCTCAAAGAGTAAAACCCTTCCCCAAAGCAAATGCTTCAGTTCACAGTGTCAAAGAAAGTGATCTGGATTTATAGCCAAACTGAAAGGGATCCTCTAAGGACTCAAGTAAGAGTTATTGAGTATTGTCAGAGTTGAAGAATGTAACAAACTTTTACAGAAAATGTCTCCAGCAGTTATTTTTTTTAAACAAAACATATTTTCAAAATAAATCTTAATAAAAGGAATTCATTAAAAAACAATATATTC